AAAAAAAAAAAAAAAAAAAAAAAAAAAAAAAAACTACCAATAGTTGCTGCTCGGTCGTCTCCAAAAAGAGAAGAAAAACAACAACAAATTACATCCAGATTTCACTGATACATCTGCCTAGAGATATTAGGCAAAGGAAACGGCCCAAACAACAGACCCTGCAATTAAATTGTCTACAGATTATGTGCTTTTGGTGGGAAGGGTTTCAGGCTTTAACCTCTTCTCCCGCAGGCTCTGCCTTCTCTTTCTCTGCTCCCTCTTCTTCTCCTTCTTTCTCCTCTGCCTCGTCTGCTAATTTAGTTAGCTCTTCCTGTATCATCAGCTTTATCGATGACTTTCTCAGGGTGAGATCCGTGCTGAATTCCTTGGCTGAAACACAGTGGGAGTAACAATGTTCATTAACAAACCCATTTGCTGTATAACCTAATCACGAAAAAGGAACCGACCGAGATCTGTCCAAAAAAGTCATACCGAGTAGCTTGAGGATGTCGGTGAATGTGGCCTGAAGAGTTCACAACAAAAGACGCTGTTAACAATCAAGATCAAAAACTGATATTATACATGCTTACATATGAACAATTGAAGCTTGAACACAACACTCTCACCGTGTTGAAGTCCACTTTCTTCAAGGTCTCGACAATGGCATCTTTCAACTCTTTGTCGCTCGGACCTCTGCTTTTGTCTTTCCCTTTACCAGATCTTTTTCCTTCAGTAGAGAGACAAACACAAAGAAACATGATGTAAGTAAACATAAGAGGCTATGAAAAAGAAAGTGGAGTCAAGGAGTAAAATTTGCCTGATGCGTCTGATAAAAACCCACACCAACTCAGGCTTTACTCTACTAAATCTCTACGCCACACTACAATGTAAAACCAAATAACAGAGAGGAAAGGACAGTTAACTAATACCGGGTTTCTCTTTTGGTGCAGATTTTGGAGGAGTTGACTGTTCTTTGGTAGGTTTATCAGTTTTCTTCCTTTTAGAAGATGTTTTCGGACTTGAATCACTGTCATCATCAGTCTTCTTCCGCTTTGAAGAGGATCTCTTTTGTGTTGCCTTTTTTGGTGGACTGGCTTTTCCAGAAACTGCAGCTTTCTTGCTTCTGGCTTTCCCTCCTGTTCCTTTCTTCCCCGACGTTGACCTTGAACCATGTTTCTTCTTTCTAGTGTCTTCTTCTGAGTCCTCCTCCGATTCAACGTTATCCTCGCTTTCAGAAGGCTCAGGCGCCTCGTCCTCAGATTTACCAGGAATCTTCATATAATGACCATTTTCTCCACCTCTTCATTCTTTTCTTCGTCCTCTTCTTCTTCCTCTTTCTCCTTTTCTTCTTCTTCTTCTTCTTCCTCTTTCTCTTCCTCAGACTCATCTTCAGAATGAGGCAAACTCTTTTTGTCAGCCTTCGCTGCCTCATCAGTCCTTTTTCCGCTCTGCAAAAATGACATGCCAAACCAAAACTTATATCATTTATTATCTTTCAAGGGATGAATTATCTCTGGATTGATTTACTTCTAAGACAGGAAACAAGCTTCCTAACTCTAAGCCATGCAATAATACCTTTGCAAATCGGTTGGAGGATAAACTCCCAGCTGTAGGTGAACTTTGCTTAGAAGTTCTCTTGCGTTTTGCTACCTTGCTTGACAGCTTCAACAGAAAATTCAAACATTATCATATGCACCAACAATTTTTAAACTCAACTCCTAAAGTAACAGTGTCTATATTGCCAAATACCTTCTCTTTCTCGTAAACTGGAACATCAGTTGTTGCATGAGGTTCCTCCAAAAATTCAATCAGTTTTGTGATGATGTCTTCCTGTGTTTATTGAAACCATGCAACAATCAGTAGCTGTAGCTATGTAAGAAGAAGATTTCACATAAATATGATATCAATCAAAATGGAAGGTCAAAGGAAAGACGAGGACTTTACACCATCATGGGGGTGCCTTTTCATCCAAAATAAAGGAACAATAGAATCTAAAGAACAAAATTACATAAATGCAATAGTCATCACCTTCTTTGTTGTAGTCTTAGCAACTGGTATGTCAAATATATCGCAAAACTCCAGAAGTTTTTCTTTGTTGCACTTGTCAAACTTTTCTTTCACTCTGAGTTTTGCCTTCTCCTGCAAACAAAATATATGCAAAGAATTCTCGATGTGAAAACACAGAGACAAAGGGCTGATCTTTGAATAGGGAAAAGAAAATTAAACAGGAACAAAGTCCAATATAAGCCAATCTAGCATGTTAACTTATCTACCGCATTTCCATGCCATGTAAAACCAGAAAACTGTAATATGTTCGTCTTGATCTGAGCAGCCTGTCAAAGCAAGAAACACAGGTCAAATACAAAGAGTATCAGCATAACTGTAACAGATGCAGCATTTAAGAGTTATAGAAACATTTGGCAAAATCCACATAAACATGCAGTAGAGCACATCGGCTGTCAAAGAAAGTATACAAAGAGATGCAGCATCACCTTGCCTCTCCTTCCGAATAGAATTGTGTGCAGCAGCTTGAAAGGTTCATCAGCCTTTTTCCTAGACACCTTATAGGCCACTAAAAAGGAAACAGACTTATAAATCATTTACTTTGTTTCTGCAAAATAAACTGCCATGGTTATAATTGAGTTGAACTAATCAGAACTCGGTGATACTCAGTACTTCAACTTTTAGGGGAAATTAGACTCTAAAAAACGCGAACCAACACTTGAAAAGACTGTTAACATGGTGATGGAATAGTAAGAGAGAGATTGGAGCATAAAAAATTATAACATGAACATACCATTGGGAATATCTTTCAGTGGTGTACCTCGTCCCTGTAATATTCAAGAGTAAATCATTATGAGATCTAGCAAATGAAACTGTAAAGGGGTCAAACAAAGGAAAACATAACAAAACCTTTTCAACATGGAATTCCTTTGAAGTGTCTCTATCAATAACTGCAACAAGCCTTTCAACAGATTTCCTCTCACGGACAGGGCGATCAGAGTAAGGAGTCCTCGGTTCTGTATCCTTCTTTTCTTCCTCACTCTTTATCTTCTCATTAACCTTCTCCTCTGTACTTTTTCCTTTTCCACGCTTTCTAGACCCCTTCTCTTCCTTAGTCTCCTCTTTTTCATCTTGCTTCTCCTCCTTATTCTCTTCCTTTTCGTGTTCCCCGTTGTCTTTTTCATCTTCTTTCTCATCCTCACTCTCTTCTTTTTCAGCTTCCACCTTCTGCTCATCAACATTTTCCTCCACCTCCACTCCCTCTTCTTTATTGTCTTCCTTCCCTTCCTCGTCTTCTCCCTCATCCAAACCCTCCCTTTCCTCCATAGTCTCATCCTCTTGATTTGCATCCACCTTTTCTATCTCTTCTGCATCTTCTTTCTCTCTGTTTGTCCCTATTCGCCTTAGTCTCTTCTTTTTCATCTTCCTTCTCTTCCTTTTCATCTTCTCCTTCGTCCAGTCCATCTCCCTTCTCATCCCTGCTCTCATCTTTTGCATCTTCCACTTTCGGCTCGTCAACATTTTCCTCTACCCCTTCTCCTTCTTCTTTACTGTTTTCTTTTCTTTCCTCTTTGTTGTCCCCTTTATTCTTCTCTTCATTTCCATTGGCATTTTCCTCATCTTTTTTTGTCTCCTCTTTCTCAAGTTCCTTCTCTTGTCCTGCTTCAATAGTATCAACCTTTTTGTTCTCTTGGTTTTCCTCTACTTTCTCCTCCTTACTTTCTCCGGACTCCACATTTTCCTTCATTGCAACATCTCCTTCTGCATCAGCTTCAGACACGCCACCATTTGTTTCCTTTTTCTTACCATCTGTTCCTTCTTCCATTTTTGCAATCTCTGCTTGTCCCTCGTCTTTTTTGACCTCTTTCTCCTCTTCCATTTTCCCTGCCTCAACGTTTTCCTCATCTTTCTTAATCTCCACGTTTCCCGTCTCAACTTCTTCTACATCTTTCTTGACCTCAGCATCTATCTCCATTTTCTCAGCCTCACCCCCATCTTCATCCTTCTTATTCTCATTAATTTCCTTGCCTTCAGCACTCTCTTCCTCTTTCTTTCCAGACAAAGCCTCTGATGACTTTTCTTGAAGGCTAGTCCCATTTGCTGCTGGCTCAACAACGGTGGTCTTCGTATCTTTTTCCACCATTGTTACCCCAGTTCTAACTAGATCGTATAGCCTGAAATACCTAGCTCTGGTGTCAAGGTCTGAAAAGGAAACAAATTCACTGGTTCAAGTCAAAAGTTCCTACCATAAAACCAGAAATCGATGTTTCCCAGAAACAACCTCTTCAAAATTTGCTGGATAACCAAAGATTACACAGACAAATTTCCTTAAACATAACAAAACTAAATTCACAGGAAATGGAGTACAAAGAATGTAGAAACTTGTCAAGAACATGTAAATTCCATCAAAGTCACACTAGCATACATATGAATGATGATGATACACGGGACAGAGATGAATTCATATTATAATGAGGCGACAGAAAACCCTAAGAGGACTTTATCTGAAATCACATGTCAATTTCATGATATCTAGAAATCGTAAACTTTCCACGTGAATTGGAGTGGATTACCTAAGAAAACAGCTTATGGTGAAGAATTCAAAGTTGCCAAGAATTCAGAATTTCAAGGCAAAAGAGCGTGAAACACAGTTCTTAACAAATCAGTCTCAAATCTCATGCATATACATTCAGAAGTAACAACGACCCCCAGATGATAAATTCAAACAAAAATATAATTCAGAGATATTCCCCAAATATTTCATCAAATATAGTCACCCAAATGCAAATCTTCTCTTGAATCAAGCAAATGATAGCCAAATACCTTCGAATTCAAGCATTTTCCAGCTACACGAAGTGCATCCACAACGAAAAACACATCAAATTATAAAAACCCGCAAAGTTTCGCATCAAACAAAGGCAGACAGAAACCCTAGCTTTCACGACGCAACTTCAAGAAGCACAACAACGACATCCACCCAAAAGACATAGAAATTCACACATGTTCGAAAGTTTCAACAGCTAAATACGAAGCCGACAACAGCTTACAGAGATTCCGGCAGTGTCTACACGTCCCAAAGGAGAAGACTTTTTGAAATCTTGCCTCTGTACCCAAGACTCTCTCCACTGAAGTTTTTTTTTGTCCTTTCCAACTTTTTTTTTTTTTCCTACGTTCGAAACAGAACAAACACCAACGCCACGATATTTTTATATATATATTTTTTTTCGGGAGCGATATAACGATTCGGACGCAAAACAAGATTGTAAATACAGTTAATTGCCACGTAGGACGGAGTGTGTCATATCTTGATATAGATGGACGGTTCTGATTTCGTATCGGAAGCATCTCGTGGATCGATGACGGTAGAAGACAATGTTTTTGATCGTTAGAAAAAAAAAATAATAATAAACCTTTTGTCGGTTTAATTCGTGGGTTATGAGTTTCCAACTACCATAACCTGTTTCAAAAAAAAAAAAATTCAAGTCATGGAGGAAGTATATATGTAGTTTATATTTTTCCTATAATGAAATTCAATTATGGTTATATGTATCTCTATATGCATTGATATTTTAACATCAAACGTTGTTTTAAATGATCATCCCACGATATTTTGCATGTAACATCTGTTTATTATTATAGGTATATATTTGCATCATGTTATTTTTAGCTTCTTAAAAATGTTTGCATTATAAATATGTGATTTATTTTAAATTTAAAAATTTGTATATAACACATCTGATCATCTACTATAATTATTTATTTTTTAATGTGTATGTAACGGTAAAGTATCTGATATATTAATAAAATGTAATATGTCATATAGAAACATATTTGACTTCAAAAATATGAATTAATAATCTCAGTTACTATAACAACTTTGTTTCTTTTTAAACAATATTATTTTAATTGCTAAAACGATATCAATTATAAATACGTTATTCGGTATAATTTTTATTTTAATTGTTCAGGCCCTTAAATTATTTAATTTAACCTAATAAGTTACATAAGTGAAGGTGTAAGTTTTCCAACTAAAAACCTCACGAATAAAAAAAATGAAAAATGCAGTGAAATTTTATATTCGAATTCTTAAAATTCCTCCCAACAATTTTTTTTAAAATTAAAGTAAATGGTATAAGTCATGGGTTTTGTACGGTTGGCCCAATGGGCTTGCTCGTTATGCCCAAAAATTGAGTGAATAATTTATTTAACCCAAGATATAACTGAACAACAATTTTTTTTTTTTTGCTTAACAACAACAAATAATTTATGTTTTCCTCCAACTCTTTTTATATTATCATAATTTCATACATATAAAATAATTATAAAAAAAATCCGCTGCGATGGATGGTAACTGGTAAGTAAAACTTTGAGTCATCTACCAATATATAAATTTATACGTAAAATAAATATAAAAAATACCATGGAGATACTGCGGTATTATTATCAAAAAAAAAAAAACTTAAACCCTAGCTAATAACATACAACGAAGGAAGAACTCCAATGGAGATTCAAGAACGAAAAAACGGCAGCGTTTTGTACAATTCAAATGAAAAATAATTTGAGCATACGGTTTCAAATCTCAGCCGTTGGTTGGTTTCTTGATGGACCCAATGGAGATATCAATCTCTATGAGGTTTTCTTCTTCGTCGTTAATAATCTCCTCCTCTTCTCCGTCTTCATCCCAAAGTTTCTGCAGATTAAGCTCCTTGTTACCCTTTGGATCATCGCTTGGTAATCTATTCGACCCATCATCGTTCGTAAGAGCGATCTCAATCAGACCATCATCATCGCCATCATCATCAAAGCATGATGTTACATCCCAAACCAACCCATTAGAACTCACCCAGTCGATCTCCAAATCCTCACTGCTTGACTCTGTGTCGGATGGTGGATCCGTCGTTTCGGACACATAACATCGGACTTGGTGCTTGTGATTCTCTTCATGGGCAGATTCCTCAGCCGAACAGGCGGCCCTTGTCTTGTCCTTCCACAACTTACGAAACACAACAGAGCTTGAGATGAACAGGACAGTGATTGTTATCAGGACAGAAGAGGTTAAGCCATGAGAGCTTAGGAAGAAGAAGAACGCTGTTGAAGGAATCAAGGTTACAAAGATGAGCAGTAATGGCGGCCTTAGAGAGCAGACCCAAGAAAAGTGCTTTCGCTCATCAGCTTCTCCCTCCATGTTCATGGCACCAAACAAAAAAAAACCCAAAGAACAGAACAAAAGCACGAGATGTGTAGAAGCTAAGCCTACCAGATGGGCTGCTGTAATGGAAGGAGATTATGAAAATTGAAAAGTGATTAGCTTTTTATCCATTGTTAATGAAGTTTAAGAAACTGTTTCGGATCTAGGTTTAGAAAGGGAGATTAAGAGTGTGTTCATCTCGAATTTGAGGAAAGTCTCATACTTTCTCTCTCTCAGACAAAACCCAGAAGAGAGAGAGAGAGATTGGAAACTGGAAATGACACTTCCGCTGTTGTATCAAGGGGGCAAAATAGTAGTGTTTTTTTTTTTCTCAGGAAACAAACAGAAAGCTCTCTGCTTTTTTTTTTTACACCTGCAACTGATTTTTTTCCCGAGAAAAGCAGCAACCTTTGGTCGGTTTCTTCAATGTACTGTTCTTTTGACACAAACCATGTGAATCCCATTAATTAAGGATGGTTTATTAATAATTAAAGATCCTAATTTCCTTTTTTTTCCTTCAACCAAAACTGCTAACTGACAAAACCGGCAAACAAACACGCAAATACCTTTCAAATTCTTAGTATCCCAATCTGCATTTGAACTGGCACTAAACCGGCCCGGTTAAGGAATCCATCGTATAAAGTATATAATATCTTCGAAATTGGTTTAATATAACCTCTACGAAATATTATTTTCTACGATGGATTTAGACGCGTATACATGTGCCAATGTTTGCGATTGAATACTTATATATATATATATATAGATAGATAGATATTTAGGATTCAACTATATGATTTACCCGGGTTTAGATCACATATGTAAACCGGTTGGTTCAATGTTGCTATAGAAAGATCGGCCTTTACTCTTTGTAGTAGTGGCTGTCCATTCTATTTATCATATGACTAAAATGCGTCCAGGCCATGGAATGGTACAAAACATGACAATGAGTGAAAGAGACGATAAAAAAAAATATATTGCTATCTTTATCATATCATCAGTACATTGAAACAAACATATACATCTTTCTTTCATTTTTTTTTTTAAATTGAATGTCGTTTTTTATATATTGTCGACCATATTATTAGAGTATTTGAAGTGGGTAGAGTATCAATTATGCAAACTATAATAAGTACCGAATATTCGAGAGTTAATGGAGAAAAAAATCTATATAAAAAAAAGTTTTTGTGGACTCGGATCCACATGTAAATAGTTTAATTAGTATTTAGTATATTTACAAGCAATGACTAAGATTAGAGATGTCAGATCCAAACCCGAACTCAGCTAGAAGTTTTTGGATACGGATTCGGGCCGATCGATTTTTGTAGGCATAAATAATCAAATTCGAAGTCTGATCCTATAGAAATCGGGTTTGGATTTTATTAAATTTGTTCTTTAAATTTTATTTTTTTTTGTTGAAAAGAAATCGGATTTTCAAACTGGCCTAAAGCGTAAAGCGTGCTTTGAACCCGACTCGAAAGTTCGACCAAGATATTTAAACCCGAAATCCACTATTTTTCGGCTGAACCGGCCCGAATTTCAGTCCTCTAATCAAAATTAACACCATTAATTAAGACCCCAATAGTATAAGAATACATGTAAGTATTTCTAATGAGCACATTGATTATTATATGCATGGGAAAACTCATTATTACGCATAATCTTTTGGTCGTATTCTTTTGTCGGAGATAAGACCCCACGAGAGAGGAAAAAAACAAGTGCAATGATGATAAAAACGTCGTTTTTATATAAAATTAATTGTTAAACCTAATAAATTATACGTATCTCATGTTTCGAAATTGGACGTTCAATTATTATAAATTATATTACATTTTTATTGGAGTATTTTGGTATTTGTTTATTGGTAAAGATGGAATTCTGAAAAGAGATTTGCATTATTAGGTGTAAAAAAAGCATAATCATATCATATCCCTCGTGCATTTTGGTGTGATAATACCCTCGTTGAATTCAAACTAAATATGATATTTTTTTTAATAAATAGATAATCTTTATTCTAATTAGGTTCAAAGTTTTCATTGAGTTGACAAATGTTTTCTAGTGAAATCCCAAATCCTTCTTACAATTATAACTATTTTTAAAATAAAAAACTATATTCAGGATAATCTTGGCATTAAAAAAACTAGTTTGTAAAATAAGTTTTTAATATAAATTATAAATTAACTTGTTTTTATACCAAGAAAAATATTATGGAATGAGCGATGGAAAGAAGCAGTTTTTAATTTCATTGCATAAAAACAGTTTTCAAAAATTAGTTTTTCAATCAAATATAAATTTTATTTTTACAAAGAACCCTTATCTAGTTAGACTATAGTTGAGATCGAATTTGGAATATTAAACGTATTTATAATTGATATTGCACAAGTGAACTATATAGATCGAATATATGTAATAAAACTTCAAGAAACCAAATATTAACATTATAGTTTTCCGCAAAGAAAAAAAAAACAGAACAAAATACATAGCAATTTTTTTTTAAAAAAGATTTTTTTGTAACGACGGAGATTACAAAATCCCGGATTCGATTCGATTTGCCAGAGACCCGAAAAGAATCTGAACACACACAAAAAAACCCAACTTTTTTGTTTCTTCTTCAACCTTCGAGCGTTTAGGGTTTTTCAAATCCCCTCTTTCGAAGTCTGAATTTGTTTTTTTTTTTTTTTTTGTAATTACGATCGTTGCGGATTAATAGTATATGTAGTATAACACAGTGTTTACCATTCAGAGTTCTGAGAAATCTGTTCTGGGTTTTCGATTGTTGCTGTGGGAAAATCCATGTTCGTCGCTGTTCAATGGATCTCTCTGTAGCGCAATCCACTCTACCTGTCGAAGAAGATGACCAGTGGGGTAAGTCGCTTCCTTCCATTTTCTTTTCCCGGAAAAATTTCGTCATTCTCCCGTTCCTGTTTTCATCACGAACTCGATTTTTCATTACCGACGACGTCTTTGATGGTTGCGAGTTCATCTCCGATCTTAAAAATCAGTACTTTCGATCCGGGTTTTGTGTTTCTGCGATCGTAGATGGTGTGTTCATGGGTTGTTCTGTAGTTGCTGACCGGTGTGATTACGAATCCGAGACTAGTTCTGTTGACCAATTTGGTACATTGAGATTTCCTGAGCCAAATTTTCGCTGAATCTGTTCATCTTACGAATGAATTTCCATGATAAATTTTTAGAACACAGTAGTGAAACATATCTGTTCATCAGTTCTGTAGTCTGTACTGTCATCTCATATGATATGTTTCTTTATTTGGTGTCAGACTCTGAAGGGTTTGTGATTCCAAGCTTGGAACTTGGAGACAATGCTGTTGATTCAGAAGTCCAGGCATCGAATCCTCCTTCTCCAAAGGTCAGTTTGATCCGGTTTACAAATCAATGGAGGAACTTTAATGGTGTGTTCATCTTTCTGTACTTCTATTTGCAGAACAAGACTGAAGAAAACATCTACTTAGGACCACACGGAGCGCCTCCTTCACAGACAAAGCAGCAGCAAGAGGGTAACCTATCGAACCGGAAGCAGCGGGTCAGG